GTTGGGCTTTCACCCACTCCATTATTCATACGAAGTCTTATTTACAGACCTTGGCGGTACACGGTCTAGTGCGTGAGTCACAATCTCTAAGGCATAACCCCAAAGTTATGTGGGTAGATCACAAAAAGCTCATCATGCACCTTACTCCCATATTCCTTCAGGTATGTTTAACTCAACTTGCCACATTCGGCATAGATTTAACTTTGAGAATATTCTTATTGTTCATTTTTGAAAACATATTATTATGAAACAGCTCCATAGAATATTATTTATACTAAAAGACAACAATCCATTAGTAAAGCAATATTCTTACTTGTCCAAAGTGGACACAGAAAAATTATTTCTAGAAACAAAATGAATATCATAACAATCCACAAGTTCCAAGTAACAAGCCTATAGGCAAAATCAGATAATAAGATCCTACAACTAATGCAGCATCATGAGCTCCATCTCCAACTAGCAGGTCCACCTCTCCCTTGGCGTGCAATCTACTCTGCTGTAGTCCTTGCACATTAGAACAAATGTGAGTACCACATCCTGTGTCAATGACCCAAGATGTTGATGGGAGAAGTTAATCTCAATCAAGAACATACCAGACGAAGAAGTAACATTCTTCTTCTGTTTTGCTAGAAAGGCCTTGCAATGTTTCCTCCAGTGGCTGGGGTTCCCACAGTGAGGACAAACGCCCTTTCTATCTATAGCAGTTCCTTCCAATGACTTCTGAGCCCTTACCTTCTCACGTAAGTTGGCTTCAACCAACGTCAATGTTTCTGACATTCTCATGCCTAACTTAGTAGCATTCAACATATCCAGAAGCTCAGAAAGGGTATTCTTCTTATTATCCTCAATGAAGTCATAGATAAATTGAGAGTAAGAATCTGGCAAAGACTGTAATATTAGGTCTATTGCTAAACCTTCATTAAGTTTGCATCCCAAAATCTCAAGCATGTTCATATAATCGGTCAACTTGAGTACATGATTGCCAATTTTGGTACCCTCTTCCATCCTACATCTGAATAATGACTGAGACATCATATGCTTCTCATTTCTTTGAAGAAAACGAAGAATATAGGCGCAGTAATGGTGTCATTGATGCAAGCACAATGTATCTAGTCATTTCTACTTTCGCATCATGTGTATGCTTCACATATACATACCCAATCTCATGGATAGAACTATCAGTAAGCTTTAGTGACAAAGCCTACTCAATGGTGTATAATCTATCGCCTGACTGAAGTATGTTTATACTTCTATTCCAGTCAACGAAATTCTCACCATTCCATTTCTCTCCCAATTCGATGATTTGTCGCAGTGATGTTGGGATCATTTTGCTCAATTAAGTGAAACTACAAGTGCAAAATAAAGCAAAATTATTATCAGGTTTATTTTTATTTAATAAGGCCTTTTATTAAATAAATCGCTCCTACTATTTTCCTCAAGCCAATAGCCCTCACTATTAACTCAGAAAAGCCTGTTGGCTTTCCTAGTGGACTGAGATCCCATCTAGCCTATTTCAAACCTTCGCTTTGGCAAACAAGCCAAAATGGGTTGATTAGGTAGGCCAACAAACTTAATCCACAACAATTGATAACTCTCACTACTAACCTCAAATGCAAAGCAAGACAATAAGCCAATCACACAATCCAGTGGCCTAGCTGTCATCCTCAAGTGCGATTCCCAGTATCAGTAGAGTGGACACTACATGTTGCCACGTACACATAACGATTGTACTTCTCTACTATGCCTATGACATGTTTATCAACCTTCGCATTGGCGAATAAGCAAAACTGTCATTTTAAGTCGACCCATCACTATTAAGGAAAACTCTAATGAATTTTAACCTCCCACTGGTAGAAGTGTACTCTTCGCTTTGGCGAACAAGGTTCCGACAAATAGTGGTTTGATTAAAACCATAGTGATAGAAGGCATACGTGACTTAATATACTTGAGGGTTTTTATTTAATGTCTCACCAGATTATTATCTTTGTTAGAATGTCATTGTTTGGCATGTTATTGAACATTCAACCTTAGCATGCATTCTAAACAATTTAAAACATGCCGGTACATGGCCCACTACAATCGATTTCCTCGAGCCTAGAGGAATCGGTGGGTCAACCTAAGGGTCTAAAAGTAAATCTTAGGTCTTCAAGTTATTCCTCTTCATAGCTCCTTCGTTTCTTCCTCACAATCATTACAAAGTATTTTTATAATGGAAAAAACCTTATTCTAATTTACATCGATAAAATAGAAACCTCGCGTTACATATGAGGGGAGTGAGATGAGAAGAAGAAATACATGAAGATATAAGAGAGAGAGGTAGGACACGCATGTCCTATTTCTTTATAAAATTACAAGCAAACCCAAAATTACAAAAACATACCAAAGGTCTAACGCTCATGTACCGGGTACCAAGCAATTTCAAACAAGAACATTGCATACATCCAAAATTAACATTTTGAATTTGGGTGGGTGGAGTTATTAAATTACCCTTCTTATATGTGTAGAATTATTATTGGCTTTATAGGTTCAAAAACTGCAATTTGGCCCCCTATGCGAAAAATAGAAAAGCAAAATGGAACAGCTGCTTTCTTGCTACAGCAGAGAAATTTCTTCACCACGGTGACGTTCATATACACATGGTTGCTGCGGCGAATTTTTATTTCGTTGTGGCAAATGCCATAAACTTCCAGAAAACACAAAACATTCCAGAGAGATTCATGCCGCGGTGAAGTTTTATTTCGCCGCGGCTAGATCTACTTTTTTGGCAGTTCGCCACGGTGAATGTTTATTTCACCACGACCAGATTCACTTTTTGCATCTTGTCGGGGCGAAGTGTTATTTCGCTGTGGCTCATGCCGTAAAACAGTGAATCGCACAGTAACCCTTTTTTAAGTTTTTTCACGTAACGATATGGATCCAAATCAAATCGAATGCACAAGCACTCGACCAAGACATCAACCAACCAATAAGTCACTCATCAACACATCATTAGTCAATTGATCAATTAAACCAATCAATATACAAAATCCACCAGATTCATGAAAACATATTATGCAAAAACATGTTATCAAACATCAATGATTAAACAAAATAATTTGGTACCCAAGGCTCTGATACCACTGTTAGCATGTGATCGGGTTTACGCAGTGGAAAAACACAATTTTAAAACAAATAAAAACCAATCATATGCCTTAATCCCAAATCTGGGTACAGATTATAGTGTTTATAACCTTTTGCATTACAACAGTATAGAAAAATCCATACAAGGATTCAAAATGCTTACACACGTTTTGGAGGCTCCTCTGAATATCTCTGATTACGCTCACAAATACTGTTCACAACCTGTTCACAGAACACTGTTCATCGACACTGTTCACATGATTCTTCGCTAATCAATCCAAAGTAGGATCACACTCACGGAAATCCACACGAAGACAATCTGCATAACCCTTGATTATTTTGCTAGAACAATCAAAGGGCTTCAAGAATCAAGAAAGAAGAAAAGAAAATTTTTCACTTTTCACTCAAGAGTGAAACGTGAGAGAGAGAGTAAAAAGGTGGCTAGGGTTTTTTTAATTTTATTGAATGAATGAATTCCTCATTTGTTTTAATTTTAAGTTGCACTTATATAGTGCAATAATTAGAACCCTATTCCACTTAGGAATAGCCATGGACTCCAACCCTAGTTCACCCTTACAACCAAACACCCCCTTTATGGTATTTTAATTAATTAATTATTATTATAATTAAAATCAATTAATATATAATAATATATATTAACATTTAATTAATAATAATAATTCATTTAAATATATACAGAGATATATTTAAATATAATCTCACTAATTTAATTTTAATATTAAAATTAAATACAGGCAACAACCTCAGCAAATTTAATTGCACTGTGAGATTACCAAAATACCATTTCATCCTAAAAGAAAAAAATACCCTTCTCACAAATTGATTCTTAAATTATCTTCTAAATGTGTGACTCGTAGGCTCCTCATCATATCGGTAGCGTGTAGTATCGCGATTAACACTAATTAATCTTCTCACTACACACAGACCAAGATTGGCCCCTAGCAAGGCATCATGGCCACCCGATAGATTCGGATTCGGATTCAGCAAAACCGCAGCTTGTCAATAATATGGTTACTGTACAATCCAATCCTTTCATCATCTGTTATCTCATTGAGACTGAGGTATAGAAATAGTGTCAACCTCAGATATCTTCGACATGTTTGTATTCAGTTAATGGACCAATGACCGGAATAATAAATTGGATTGAGCATCAACTCAATCCCACTGTGGCCACAGATTTATTGTCATTGCCATTTACTGAATTACCTAATGAGATAACTTCTCCCATACCTAGGAGTGATAAATCCTTTGTCGATCCACCATAGTCTCGATACACTTCTCAATGTAGTCAATCATTACCGTATTGATATCTCTGAATAGAACTACATTGGGCTAATGTCAAACTACTCCAATTGGTGCACAAGGCGCTCTGGTGATCTCAAGTCTAAGGATCACATGCACCACCATCTGTTAGAGGATTTATTCTATAGACACTGGGTTACCATCCATATGGAATCCTCTGGTGGGTCTGTCCAGTGAGCTTGCCTATGGCAAGCACCCATGCGTTGCACTAGGTTGTCAGCAAACAACCTGGACAAGTGAGATTAGTCACTGTCTTTCGACAGGGTCTTTCAACTCTATGATAGCCTTATCGTATTATCTGTATCCTTGGTTAGAATAATATTGGGGCTACGGACGTTTCTAGAATGACCACCATATGTGATCATAAGGTTCTCACTATCAAGATTTGAAACACTTGATACCCTCATCACAGTTCTACCATCCTAAGGACATTTATCATTACATATAAATATGATTTACACGATATAGAAGAATATGCCTTTTATTGATAAATAAACATTTATTACAAAGTCAATCTTACAATAATTGATTAGCTCTAGGGCACCTACTCTAACAATTCATTGGAAGAAAGCCCTTTTCAAACCTGAAAATAGCTTTGAGCTTTTCTTCTTCTTGCACCTTGGATAGAAAAATATGACTTTTGGCAATGTTTGCTTTGAGACCAGCCAACAAGAGAATAAATCAATAGCATTCTTCATGTTCATAATGGAATTCTTGTCAACATAGCAAAAAAACATGATGTTATCTGCAAAAAAATGGTGGGTTAGATTTAAATTCTTACAACGCCAATGGTACTTGAAATCCTCCTTGGTTGCCACCTTAAACATCAATCTCGAAAGGATTTCCATGGCAATAACAAAGAGATAAGGAGATATGGGGTCTCCTTCCTTAAGGCCCTTTGTCCCCCTAAAGATCCCGGTAAGCTCCTCATTCAGAGCAATTGAGAACTTAAGGGTTTTGAGAGTTTTAAGAATAAAGTTCCATCTCACCGAGTCATAGGCCTTTAAAAGATCAACTTTTATTGCATATCTCCTCACCTTGTCTGAACCCCTATTGTAGTGATAGAGCTTTTGGCTAAGGAGGATATTGTTCCCTATTTTCCTACCTTCCATAAAATCCATTTGAGCTTGGTTTATGAATTTAGGTAGCATACCTTTCATCCTATTAGCCACAATCTTAAAAATGCACTTGTAGATGATGTTGCAACATATAGGTCTAAAGTCCCCACACAAAGTACAGTTCTAACCTTTGGGAACAAGAGCTATAATGGTGCAATTGACCTCTTTAAGCATCTTACTCAATTGAAAGAAGTTTTGGACAGCCTCCATCACATCATTTCCCACCACACAACAGGCCTTTTGAAAGAAGAATGCTCCATAGCCATCGGGGCTTTATCCTTGTTCATCTCAAACATAATTTTGGTAATCTCATCCCTAGTAACCTCAGCAACCATTCTATTTGCTTCATCACTCGAAATAATGGGATCAATTATTTCCTCTAGCCCACCGAATCTCCTTCTATGATTCTTTTCTTTAAAGAGCTCCTTATAGAACAAAGTGAACTCTTTTTTTATCCTTCCCTTGTCATTTGTGTGGTTGTCATCATCCAACCTTACAGATACAATCTTATTTCTATTTCTCCTCTTGTTGATGGATTTAAAGAAGTAGAAAGTGTTGACATCAACTTCTCTCAACAATTTCACCCTAGATTTTTGCTTTACAAGGGACTCCTCAGCCTTGGCTAACTTAAATAATTTAGAAGCCCTTTCCCTCTCTAATTGGATGCAAACCTTATTAAATGGGTCATCGTCTAATTTTCTTTTGGTATTACAGAGATAAATCCTAGCTTTTTTCACTCTCTCCGAAATGTTCCAAAACTTCTTCTCATTTAGCAACTTATGCTCATATCTCAATGCCTTTAGCTTGGTTATTAATCTAAACATAGGATTGCCTTCCACCTTCATCCTCCAAACTTTTCTACCAACGGAATAAACGAATCATCCTCAGTCCAAAAACTAAAAAAATTTAAAAGGGGTTTTCTCACTTGAGACACCAACCCATAATCTAGTATCATAGGACAATGGTCGAAAATACCCGGAAGAAGGAAAGTAGCAAAAGAAAAGGGAAAACAAAGACCCTGTTTTTCATTACCCAACATCCGATCAAGCTTACACATAATTCTCTTAGAAGCATCCCCCTTGTTGTTCCAAGTGAAAAAATTACCTCTATATATCTAAGGTCATCCATTTCCACCACTCTACACAATTCATCAAGCTCTCCACAATGTGGCTTCCAACACAAGAATCCACCCTCTTTTTCCATCACATTTTTGAAGGGATTAAAATCCCCCAAAATGACTCAAGGTTCTCGGCCAAACATATTAGAATGATCATTTAACTCTTGCCAAAGATCCCTCCTTTCCCCCGTGTTGTTAAGGCCATAAACAAAAGAACACCTGAACTTACACTTAGTAGCCAACACTCAACAAGGCAATAGATAGCTTGGGTTGAACTAGAAAGGACATCAACCTTCACCCCTTTTGCATCCCATCCCATCCCACCCAAATCCTACCCCTTTCGCAAGCATGATAATTATCCACCGTGGACCACTTGTTGAAAACTAAGCTCTTTACTCTATCTTTATTGTTCTCTCTCACCCTTGTCTCTAAAATAGCACATAAACAAATATTATTACTCCTAATTAAATTACTAACCTCTTTTTGCTTTGGCGGGGTATTGAGACCTCGAATGTGCCATGCGACAAACTTAATCATGATTGGTGATAAAGTTGGGTGGGATCCTTCCCTTTTTTGCAAGCCTTTTCTTTTGACTTCTTGTTAGTTTAACCAGCCCTTTCTCTTTCCCATCTTTTTCGTCCACTTTCCTCAAGTTCACTAACGGAGCCACACGAGGAGAAATATATTTCATCTCCTTTGCCTCCAAACAATCCATAGCAATAGGGTTCCTAGGTGGTGATGGTTCAATCTAAGGCATAACACTCATAAAAACACTAAGATTCTCGTTCTTAATCACATCTCCCCCATTCTCTAAAGTCTCGACCTACCCACTTGCATTGTTATTTGGGTGTGCTACAATTGGTTTCTCTCCTAAGACAATCTCTCTAAAATTCTCCTCTCCCACCTCAAGGTCTTCCTCTCTAGTCTCGGCCAAAACTGCAAAATGGTTCACACTCTCCTTTGGGGCACTCACCTTGGTTTCTCATTGTCCTTAACACTCTCTCATTTCCCTTCTAAGGTAACAGGTTGGTTTTTCCTTGAAGAGACTTGCCTCCATTCTTTGGGTTGAGGGGTAGGATTTTTCTTAATAAACATAAGGCTAGTTTCTTTAGGAGCCACAAGACAATTACTTTGGATATGCCCAAAGGTCTTGCACAAAGAGCAAGTGATAGGATTCCAAGCATGCTCCACCTTAATATAAGCAATCTCACCATTCAACAATTCTAGCTCAAATGAATCCCTAAATTCCAAGGAAGAATCCATTTCTAAGAACACATTAACAAATTCCAACCTATCTCTTAGCTTAGTTATGTTTTCCATGTAAAGGACATTCTAGGAACACTAGCTATATGACTTAACCCTTTGGAAGTCCAAAACTCAAGAGGGATACCATAAAATTTTGCCCAAATGGGAACTCTAGTCACTCAATTCATGCCAGCACTCAAGTTAGGACTCCATTTCTTCAAGAAAAAGGGCTAGCCTCCAATGAACCAAGGACCACTTTCCAACACTTCATCTTTGGTAGCCTCATATGCGAACTTAAGAATGTATTCCCCTTGCCAATAAGAAACAAACCCAACACCTCCAAACTGTTTCCAATTTTTATCCACAAAGTTTTTAACCTAGAAGTAAGACATCTTTTTACCAATGAAAAAGCCCACAAAACAATTGCTCCATTTATCTACTCCTAAGTTGAAACTTCACTAGGAGGAGATACTCTAATATTAGACCTAACTTTACTCTCAACTTAGGCTTAATATACTCTAGGGATGCACTAGCTCTCTTGGAATAAAGAAGGTCTTTCCACTCTCTCCTCTTCTCTTCATCCACGGTCTTAAGGACAATGCTTTCAAGCATCCCATTTGAGCTACTTCCTTTTAAGGGAACAAAGGAACTAGCCGCCATACTATCCATACCATTGGGAGTCTTCATATTAACCTCAATCTTGTCAATCTTGGATTCCATTACCAACTTATTCTCTTTTACACCAATTCCTTCAAAGGATTGATGCCTTCGTCAACATCTCTTTCTACATCATTCTTATGTTTTTCAAATGAAGAATCCTCTTCCAAAATTTTTTGACTTCCTCATAAATAGCATCCCGAGCCACCCAAATGTACTCCCCCTCTTCATACAATAAGCTGTTACCATTCACACTTGATCCTCTTTGATTTTCGGCTACCTTTTCCAAGACAGAATTCTTCTTATTAGCACCTTCAACCTTGACCAATTCATCCTTAGAAATACTCCTTAGACACAACTTAAGCAAGAAGGAAGGGGCGGGAAAGAAATAAGATTAGATTCAATTACCAAAGTCCTCATAGAGTAAAACACCAACAAGAATAGGGTAGAAAAAAGGAAGCAATGGTCACCATTAAAATTTCTTTCTTTCCTTTTTTATCTCTCCCGGTGCAATGGATCCCAAGTGACATGGCACACATGGCAAATGATAAGGGTGATGTGGCAATAAGATGGAGCAAGAAATCAAGTGGAATATAAGGTGATGTGGTGGATAAGGATAAAGAAAAGTGTAATCCCAAAGAGCAATGAGGGGTAGGTGATGTGGAAAGTTATGACAACAAGATAAAGGGGCAATCCCCCAAGCCAATAGGAGAGTGCCATGTGGCAAATAAGGAAGAAAGAGAGGAAAAGGAGGAAAATTCAAAAAATTGAGGATGGAGGGAGAGAGAAGTGCCATCAATGGTTATACAATATCTGGTCAACCTACGGCCAACCCAACACTGGCCAACTTCGGCCAGCCCAACTCTTGCCAATTCCAACCAACCCAGCTTTGGCCAATTCTGGCCAACCCAACACCAAAAAGGTCGACACCAAAACCAACCACTACCTTAACTCCATAAACAACAATTCAAAAGCAACCACACAAATGAATTCGGCCAAGAGGAAAAAGAAAATGGTGGAGGGAGATGAAAAAGGTCTGCAAAAGTAGGATGGGGAAAAAAGGGATGTGACGGGATGATGGTGGATGGATTGGTGGTGGTAGTTGGTGGGAAAATAAGGTGGTGACGGTTGTTTATGAAGGTTAAGGTGAAAAAGAAGATGTTGATGGAGTGGGAGTTAATGGTGGTAGGAAAAGGTTGTGGAGAATGGTGAAGGTGGAGGTGGATTGTGTTAATGGTGGCGAATTGGTGGAAAAGATGGTGTTTGAGATGGGTTAGGGGTTAGTTAATCCTAGAGAGAAGGTAGATAATTTTCTCTCACTAAATCCTACTAAGTTACAACGATATTAATAATAAACTTATCTTCAAACAAAAATTTATTTGATTAATAAAAAAAAGAAAAAAAATAGGTAAGATGTTTATATGAGTGCAGGCAATTTGCAAAATAAATTATAACAATAGAAAAAAAAAAAAAACAAGTATAAGAAAAAAAATTTAATTTATTTTTGAGTGGGGTCTCCAACCCCCACTAATTACTACATAGGAATGTCTAGCGATGTAAACAAGCCAAGCCAAGACGAGCTTTGGGTTATTGGAGCTCGACTTGGCTTCTACAATTTTGAGCTCAAACTCGAGCCTGAGCTTGGCGAGATTGAAACATTGAGTTTGAGCTCGAGCTCGGCATAGAAAAGGTGAGCTTGAGCAGTTTTCGCTCGACTCGCTCTCGCAGACTCTTCTTACTCCACCGCTCGACACATTGAAATAAAGAAACAAATAAACTTGAACATTATAATAAAAAGTTAGATTTCAACTACAAAAATTAAGGTTTATTACATACAATTTACAGGATACTTTCATTAACTTGGAAGCATCAAGTCCTCAACCAACCAACAGATCAATACATAAGCAAAAATCCTTGTTTTATAAATCTCATCAATCATCATATTCCTCACTTCCTTTTCCGTAATTGTCTCCAAACTCGAAGAATTTGAAGTTCTAGTTGGGGAAATGAAAAGGGCAGGTGCCACTTCAATCCAAGAATTCAAGCATCTGATCTCCTTCACCATCGCAACAAGTAAAACAAGCCCTGTTGATATCAAGAAAATGAGAGCTTTTCTGGGATTCACTTAAGAGGTTTTCAATAACTTTTCAAATGTTGTGGTTTGAGAAAGAACCAAGTGTGGTTTGAGTTTTATAAAGATTGAAGATTACAGAGGAGGAGGAGAAAAAGAAAGAAGGAGAAGTGAGTTGATGCCGCAAGAGAAGAAGTTTGGGTTTCTAATTCGATTTTTCAGATTATGATTACTTGGGTATATTGGGGTGTGTTTGTCATTTTTACAATTTTTAGGATTCGAAGACACTCGTAAATTATATACACCCCCTATTAGTTGCAATACTATCATTTATACCCTGGAGCTTGCGAGCTGGTTGATCCGAGTATTGGCATGTTAGAACTCGACTCGATATTGTATCAAGCCACTCAAGCTTGAGCTTTTATCGAGCCGAGCCTAAGCCAGTCGTGAGCGGCTTGTCTCAGCTTACACCCCTAGGTATGTCCATGCATCCAAGCCATTTTACAAAAATATGCTCCACCAAATTCATAATAAAATAAGGTTTAACCAAAATTAAGCTAACTCAATAATTATTGGAATGAAACTAATAATGAATATCATAAGTTTCTCATATTATAAAATTTAAATCATTGAACTAACATCACATAACAAGCCTGGAGAAACATCATCACAAATATAGTTCAAATTACAAGAATATCAATCAAGTAAACAAGTCCAACTTCTAGCTTCCAACTTCAACACAATCTATCAAATTACGAAGTGTCAAATAATAAAGTCTTATTATTAATGAAGCCGCATCAATTTTTTTATTTATTTATTTATTTTTTTTAGACTTAGGTGGTGTTTATTTTTCTATCTGAAAGTTGAATGTGTTTGTTAGCTGAATGTGTCTGAATTCATAAGTTTGAAGGATATGTTTGTATTATAAATTGTGAGTTGTTTGTTCTTATTAGGNACAGCAGGCCAGGAGAATTTGAAGCTGCATATTTTAAGAAATGAATGCAGGTTTCATAATTTGAAAATTAAAAGACTACAGATTCTCCTTTCTATGCCTTTTTCTTTGTTTCCACGATGCAATATATTATGATATAAAAAAAATCAACTAAAAGAAAAGAAAAAAAAAAAAAAACTAAAGTCATGGAACCAATAAACACCAAAAAGAAAGTTATTATTGCAAAATTACCTTAGTCGAACCACAACAACGCCAAAAATGCACTTCAAGAGGAGAACCAGGTTGGATGCATACTGGTGTCCTTAGTGGAAAATATATGGCAAACCTGAATAAGAAAAGAGATCTTCATCTTTCATTCCATGACACTTTATATAAGTAATTAATTGCCAACTTCGCACTAGCACATAATCTAGAAAAATAAGCTACCATATTGTCTCTATAAAATGTTATGCAGCACAAACCCAAAAGATACTAAACAAATTACCAACTGAACATGTTCGGTGTGGCCGTTGACGGTTCAATACCGAGATGTACATCTTTGTAGAGAGTCGCATCAAAATAGCCAGCAAACCCTATTAATCAGGCATATGATAGATATCAAGCTCAAAATTTCCAACATAAAATGAATTTACCTTTGTAGACGTATTTATACTTCAGGCTTGTTTTTAGAAAAAGAAAATAACCAATAAAATGAGGTGGTTATAAGTAGAGGGTAAAATTGAGCTTAGCTTTGTAAATCTTAACTGACCCTGTTCTTACTCAAAGGCTTCAGCCTAGTTATCTAATTCATGTTCTCTCAAATTCAAATTTGGAATGACAACTGATTATTATCGTTGATGGCTTATTACATACCGTGTACAATGGCTGACCCAGTGTCACTAGGTAGTTCAAACCTCAGCTTTTTGTATCGTTGATTGCTTTTCTCAGTTGAGAAATTCGGATGAGTAAACGTAAAGACCTGTAGGAAAACATATCACGTATAGCATCTAAAACATGTTGAATTCAAGTTCTTGACAGTTGGCTTCTAAGAATAGGTCAGAAGAGAGATTCAAACACCAACAAAATCAATTACGTTATATCATTTTAATAAGCCATAGACCAAATATTGTTCACAAGTTACAGGTATCAAGCTTGCCAAAAAGAAACTCACTGGCTGGGAAGGAGCAAGCCTTGCTACACTGTGCACTTTGACAACATAAGCAGTTTCAAAATGCACAAGATCTTTATGGGACTTAACCTGCAACACCACAGTAACTTTAGCTAACACATAAATTGCTTGAAGAAAAGTTATATTCTCAAGCACAAAGACAAGGAATTACATCATTGTGTAACTTTGAAGCTGTCACTGGTTGGATGAAACTTGTGTACCTAAAGAATCATACCAATAAAAAATGCTACAGAGATCAGAAAACAATTGGAAATCTGAATTCTGATTATAAATACAAATGTTATTATGGGCCTAAGATGAATGCACTTCGCAAGATATTTGCATGATCACTCACAAAGTAATATAATGTCAAGGTGCAACTTTTTGACAAATATGCCACAGAATATAAATCAAAATTTATAAGCACAAAATACTACAACCGATATCACAAATTAAACTCTGACTAACTACCCAAAATATTAACCTATTAGATAATGTTTTGATAGCACCATCACAACCCTAGAGAAATTGTGCTACCTTAAAACTCAACTCAAAAAAATTGTAAACTCTAAAAAATTGACCTTGAGTAAGCCTGAAACACTCAAACAAACTCACAAAATAAGAGAAAATAGAAAAGCAAGGAAGGAAAAAAAATTACATATTAAAAAGTAAACAAATACTTGGATGCAAAGTAAGTCTTACTAGTTCATAAGTAAAATGAATGGTACAGATCAGTAAATATTTTCTCTAAAAAGAATCTAGGTCCACTAGCATATCTTCTAGTTATTCGTGAATCACCGCCCGACATATTCCATGTATTGATTTCCTATCATATTGTGGTAAGTGAAAATATGGACAAAGCTTCTAAATTAATGTTTTAAGAATATTTCCAACCTTGTAGCCACTAAGTGCACAATAGTTTCGAATTGATATAACCTATTTTTAGTAGCACCTTGGAGCCCTCTTGTCCCTAAGAGAATCTCACCAGCTAATTATCAAATACACATTGAAAAAAAAAAAAAAAAAAAAAAAATCACATGCTATAGAAGAATACACATACGATGATGGTATAGATATTCCATCTTCTTTTAAAAACCTTTGCGCTCCATCTAGGCACTCAGGAGACAGCTCATTGTCACCAAAAGAACCAAGCAACTCACTAACCTAAAAGAAAATATAGCAAAGATAAATACGCAAACAGTACCAAGAGAAATATAAGAAAACTTCAATTTACCAAGACCACATTCATTTACCAAGATATCAGCTTTCTCTGGAGCATCCCAAAAACGCATGTCACAAGAAACTATATTCACCTCATTCTCCCACCCCTCAATTCTAACCAAACTCTGTTCCAGAAAAGGCTTTGTCACCCTCAAATACCAAGTAACTTCATCACTAAAGAAATTGGAAGAAGAACATGAAAGTACATTTTTGGCTTTCCAAAAGAAGTAAAAGCATAAAACATTTCTTTTTCACAGTAACTCGTCAAGCCCACAAGCAGGAGAGAGAGACGTGTGATTTAGTTATTCTAAACAAATATCTTGCAACTAGTTAAGGCAAAATTACTGATTGAGACCTTCAAATGTATAAGATAAAATGAGCAAACTGAACAAATGAAATACTATAACTATCATAATTTATTTATTTATGAAATCTACAATGAGTAAGAATCACTCTAAGATTTGTTGCCCTTATTAAAATGAACCACTTTATTTCCTAACCAAGTCAGACAGACACATTTATTTCCTTATAAACAAACACAGTCTTGTGATGAAAGAATTGTAGAACAAAGAATATAACTGAGGAAAGAAAAGAGAGACAATGAGAAGAATAAGATAATAGGGGGGAAATAGAGATATAAGGAGGAGAAACCAAAATTCAAACCAAGTCTAATCTCTACAAAACAACCAAGTCCTAAACCTTACTATTCCTACTCAAGCAAGAAAAAATCAAAAGACTAAATAGAATAATTAAATCCATCTAAGTAAAATAAAAATAAAACTTCACATCCAATTTTGGAAAATAAAATATTTCCTAAAGTGACTAATAAAGAATAGCAATTTGATATTGTATATATTAGCAATTTAAGCTTAATTAAGCAATAAAATGATGGAAACATGATTAGACTTTCATGCACCAATATGAAATCTGCCACTCACATGAAGGGTAACAACTGCATTTGGATTTTTCTCCACAGCATAAACCTTCAGTTTCCTTCCCGTTTCTTCAGCTGCCTATAAATGAATTGAAGAAGAAAACAACACTCAGCAGGCAATCTCCAATAACATAACTTAGTCTACATTCCATTATCTATGCCAGAGAAACAAACCTGCAATGCTGCCCTAACAAGAGGTCCACGTCCTGCTCCTACAACCATCAGTACCTGCCACATTTAAAAGCACACTGATATCATGAACTGCCACATTTAAGGTGGTGCAATAAATTAGACTATGAACTCAAAATTCAGATCACCGACAAATGGGTAGCTTACAGTGGTTAATGAAGTCACTTCTTCGTCAGGAATCCTGTCCTGTAAGGCTTTACTGATTGCCCTTTGGTACTAGCAAAATTCAAATACATCATTACTAATCAGAAGTCAGAACGACAGGGAAAATAGAGAAATTGAAAATAAATGTACCAGTTGTCTTTAGAAGAATGGGACTTCCAACCACCAGTAAATTACAGTGCCACATATGGACTATGTACCTGAATGTATTTCACTGCATCTTTCTCAAATGTCTCATATGTTTGAGCTTCTAGATTGTCCATAAGAGGCTGCATTTAAAGAACAGACAAACACAGCTAGTAATTACAAGTATCAAATAAAATGGAATTTTTGAATTATATGCTTCCACAGAGGAAAAAGTTGTGAATACCAAGAAACTAGTGGATAAAAAACATCAAAAGACAGAGGAAGGTAAGGAAAACTTACTTGCAGTGGAGACTGTAAAAAATCCCTGTAACCAAGCTGCCATGAGAATATACAAGGGTCAGAAGAAGAAAATTACAAAGCTAGCTCACAAAAAGTGCACTGCACCTCAAAACGTTCTTGCTCAGGAAGGGGATCCATCCTCTGGTACATATAAGCAACATAGTCCAAATATGGCCTTAGGGGATGTCTCTGTGCATCTGAAAGACCAAGAATACTGCTTAACTTATAGACAAGAGCAATTTAAACTAACTTTAGAAAACAAGAAGAATAAAAAACATATGTTCTCAGAACAATTAAGTATAGAAAAAGTGAATAATGCATATTTTACACAACATACATATGTGGGATCCATGTGTAAAACATAAAGCTAACGAACATGTGAACTCAAATTAGAAACAGAGGTTAATATAATACAGCCAAGCTCCTCCCATTTGTAGACTAAAATTGCATTACTAACATACAACTGTTTAAGCATTAACGGTATTCATAGCAACATATTAGTGGAGTGAAGATAACAACTTAGGAACTTACTGTCAACATTATTAACAGTATGATTTGCAGCTGAATCCAAGCTCCCCCCAGGAAGACTATGTACAGATTGTCCTGAAATAACTATCTGAACAAGTATTCCCCAGGACAATAATTAATGACTCGAAACCAGGAAATTAGCAGAAAGAATGATTTAAAAAATATCATAAGGAATGTATGATCAGCCAAGACCATCATTATCAAGAATGAAAAACATCATCTTTAAATGAACAAAAGACACAAGAAAATAAGCAATTGTTTGATAACCTGTATAGAATGGTTAAAAAATCCAGTAATGAGCTTCTGGTGGCGCCTCGAAAGGCATGGATGACCCCGTGCATTCGTTAGGAAAGACTGCAAAAATCAACAATAACTTCTTTAAACAACCAAGATTCACAAATCAACAATTAAATCTGGTGGCAATCACAGAAGCAACAAACAATTAAATCAAAATTTCAAGGATAAAATAATGAAATATTCAAGGTAAATTTTACATCAGTATTTATTATGGCTGCTCTAACAGGCTCTCCAAACCATCGTCCAAGGGAGTTTGCTGAAGGTAGTGAGCTCCTAGAAAACAAACCATTAACAATAGTAAGTATACCCATTAGTTCTGCTCAAATCAAAGGTTTAAAATCTACAAAGCATTGTTTATTCAACTTACAGAACATTAAGGGCAATTGAGAGCTGACCATGATGTTCACAAAGAAGACGAAATGAATTCCAGAGTTCCCAGGAGTCGATCTATAGGGCAAGAACAGGAAAAAAAAAAAAAAAGGAATAAAGCAGGCCTATTTAACACTGGGTTCTTTTCTCAAATACTAATCAGAGCAAATTACAACATTAAAAAATAAAAAATAAAAACACATGGTAAGTCAACTGATCATAACATTCTGAAGAGGGATTATGGACCATAAAAGATCAGAATGCAAAATATAAAGGTCGATACAAAATATGTCAATTGCAATCCAATATGGTATTCATGATGACTTCGAGGGGGGAACACAAGAATCCAAGAAGCTGTTTCATCACACAAATATAATGACATTCATATGAAATAAACCCGATAAATATTATGCAGAAAAAAATACAGCTTATAAACATATGTATGAGACATTCTTCAAGGGCAATATCTGAGCATCAGGTGAAGTGATTAAACTCACCAATTGATTAGAGTCCATAGAATCATCATCAGTCTTTACCAGCGGAATCCTAAGCCACAACTTTGATATCACAACAAAGACAATTATGAGAAGAAAAACAAAAATCGAGCACTTACAATTAAAATTAAAAAGAAAAACTGTAAGCACCTGCATATTGTTTAGGCCTTGCAAGATCTGATTCACACACCTAGCATAATTAGCACAGGATGTTCCCTTAGGCGATGGAAGAAGGCATGCCTGCAGCAGATAAATTGTGAATTCAAAATCACAACCTCTTAAACATAGGAATAAGGGCTTCCTTTGCAAGGACTATTTTCATAGCATCAAGAATTATAATATAATTTCCAACTTCAAAAACAAGAAAACTAATAATGATGAAACAGCTATTGCTTATATATAGAGTCAAAGGAATCACCTTACTTATAACTTCTATAACCTTTAATATTAGATTGTGTGGAGACAGAAGCATCAATAATAAGAAGGAGGTAACAATGTTTCGTTTACACTATGTTTTAGATGAAAAAGAGAAATCGGACAGAATTCACTTGTTACCAGCAACACAAAAAGACTTTCTACAGAAAACATAATAATGAAGAGTGTTAGCCTCACCTATCTAACTTTAATTCTCAGGAGTTCTCTTAACGATAGCTCATTCATAACTGTACAAATACAATCTTTCAAAAAGGAAACAAAACAATTGCAGTGACAGGTTATTCACGAAAGCAAGAAAAAGTTTCATGCCTCTGGATTCCTACATGATTAATAGAAGTGGAAAAAGAGAAATTGGTTATAGGTGTCAATAAAACTACTGCAAAGGTAGTTAAGCTTTGAAGCTATAGAATTTTGACCTTGAAATCAAATGCTAAGATAAGAAATCAAGAGAATAGTCATCACATCTTGTTCTCTATCATGTAGAAGAACATGATTATTTATGGAAGAAGCTCTAAAAATTCAGATAACTAAAAACAAAATTATTAAAAGCAAAGCAGTATATGCTACTTCATTTAGTTATCCTCACAATTTCTTCTTGGGAAAATAATTTGGATTTTGTCGTGCATCATATGAAGAAGCTAACATCACAAGCAAAACAAAAAGAAATTTACATCAATGCTTAACTTTTTGTTTGAACTAATATAAACATTGCAGGAAAATCATTTCAAGACAAACCTGTAAGGACAAATGCATAGCCCATGCTATTTCTTGCTTCAAAGTAATTTCAGAATCCATCCGAATGGTCTCATCTTCTGAATCCAAGTCAATCCACGAACTAATTTTTCCTGAATAGATTCAAGAATATACCGGGGGAGTTCCACAAGAATGTAATGCAAACAGAACCTTTTATCACTTTTTACCAAACCAAAATTTTCACAGAACATCCGCACCAGAGAAGAACTTTAAGCATAAATCATACTATGAAGTTGAATTTGTACAGGCCCAAACAAGTCTCTCAACCGGATTTTCTAAAAACCAAACTCCTAAGGGAAAGACTTTGCTGAAGACAAAATCTTTCAAACAAGACTACAAAATCAAATGAATATATCAATTTCTTCTTCCAACATCCTAATTTTCTTTTAAAATCCGAACTCCTTATCCAAGATGTATGCTAAAAATCAAAAACTTTTCAAAGCAAATTAAAAATGTCATCTGCCCGAGAGAATAACTATCCGCATAAATTAATACTCCTGAATAGAAACTATCACATGCTCCAGCATCAAGATAAACAAGAAACTGAAACACATATATAAAATGAAATGATTAGCAACAGTAAATTGAAAATTTCATACCGACAACATGAACTATCTCTCATACTATCCAGATAAAATAATTCACCTCTAAGTAGAATCTATTACAGGCCCAAAAAGGATAGCATACAAGACAGATAATTCAACCAAGACTACAAAATCAAATGAATATATCTAATTCTTCTCCCAACATCCTAATTTTTTTTATAATCCGAACTCCTTATGCAAGGAGTATGCTAAAAATAATAAAATTAAAAATCAAAGAAAATTAAAAATATAAAATGAAATGATTACTAACTGTGAATTGAAAAGGTCATACCCACAACATGACTACTCCATTGGGAGGGGCTCAAAACCAAGTCAGAAGCAGCAAATGGCAGAACATTTGATCCACCACTAGCGTCTCTTTCTACCAAGCTTGGCCTATAAGCAGGGTCCATCTGTAAGATTTGAAACAGGTGGGAGTTAAAAAGAATAATCAAAACCAAAACCAAAGAATCGAAAAGAAAAACACTAACCAGAGTAGCAACGACGAAATCGAAGCCACCAGTGGAGAGATTGTAGGACAAAAGATGCGGCATGTCATTGTCGAAGTCAGTCTCCACTCCACAATATCTGGATTCGCTCTTGTCCCATCCTCCTCTCTCACCCAACGGCATTGTTTTGCTTGCAGAGAAGACGAAGACGAAGACGAAGTCGAAGTCGAAGTCGAAGTCGAAGTTGAAGAAGAAGAATGAAGATGAAAAGAAGGCTTGGGTTTATTGATCTTCTTCTGCAAATAATACAAACAAGAGCCCTCAAGGGTTTTGGTAGGGTTTTGGTTGGGTTATACGGTTTCTGCCTTCCCCTAAAATTTTCTATATTTAAATATGCCCCTTATAGTTTGAGAATTATACTTGTTTCTCTCTAGGTTTTTTCTTGTGATGAAACCACTATTTGTACCCAAAAAATTTATTCCACGCCTATTTTCTGAGAATAGTAGTTATAATAATTTGAAAAATAATTGCTACCCTTATATTCATAATTATAATACAAGGTCGATTAAGGTTAAATTAAATAGAAAATATAATGAAAAAATTTATTAAAAATCGATTAAGATATCATTTCCGAAAATTTAAATGATGTGAATTAGCAAGAAGAGTACATCAAGTTTGTTTTTGGATGAAAAATGCCCCACGCTCTTTTAATTAAGTATTGCTAATCACTCGCTTCTATTATGTAATTAAGTAGTATAATAAGAGAAATCAATAGTAATTATAGGGGAAATTGGCGATAATTTATAAATTTTAGGGGTTTAAAGGAATACTAAAATTCAAGGGATGTCAAATAATTCAGTAATTAATTAAACCGTTAGGGGGCGTTTGGTTCGGGAATGTTAGATTACTGTGAATGTTGGATTACTGGAAAGATAAATTACCTTGAAAGATTACTGGAAATCTTTAAGAAAATATGTTTGGCTAGTTGGTGGGTATGTTATATTAATATGGTTGGTTATGGAGAATAAATTGGTGGGTATGTTATTTAAATTACTAAATTGCCTCCTTTACAAATATTAATATAATATCAGTTTTATTATTAATTTTTGAATAATTTTTTTAACCCCCAATATTTCAGATTTAGTTAAAACACCCATGTTTATATAAAACTTTAATTTATTACGAAATCACCCCCACCTCCTGCCACCGCCTACCGCCACCGCAAACCACCGCCAGAAGTCTCCGAAACTCCCCATCAGTAACTCACTGTGACCAAAAGGCTTCGATATGGCCGTTTTCAGCCATATTAATGGCCAAAAATGGCCATATCAGGTTAGATCTGGCCGGAAATGGCTAGATCTATTCTAGTCATTTCCAACCAGATCTGGGCGAGATCTGGTCGTTAACTGCCACGGACCTGGCCGTTAACAGCCAGATCTATTCTCGGCCAGATCTGGCTTGATATGGCCGTTTTCGGCCATCAATATATCGAAGCCTCCCGGAGCCTCCCACCAAACTCGTTCTTTTTTAGGGATTCCGGCGAGTTTTCGGGTCTGTAAATTATTTTTAATGTAAGGACATTATTGTCCAAAATTTTAGTTAAACAAGGGTAAAATTGAAATAAGATATTAATGTAAATTTATTTTAAAATGAGGGTATTATTGTCCAAAATTTTCATTAATAAGGGATAAAATTATAACAAAAAAAGATAATCATGATAATCTGTAATCAGATTACTTCCAATATTACCAATAGTAACTACTATTGGTATTTAAAGATTATCGAAATCTTATATTACTTGACAACGAAACGTGGTAATCAAGTAATATAAGTTAACATTACCCCAATAATTTGACATTACCGTCAACCAAATGTCCCCTTAAGTTTAACCTCTTATCTCACATTGAAGGTGGAAGGCAAGCAGCACCTGTATTGTGATGGGGTATATATTATTGTAGGTGTTTTTTTTTTTTTTTTTTAAATTCTCGTTCTATTTTCTTTAAAATTAATTAACTATTGAAAATTAAAAACAATAAATACAATCAAGATATAAAATTATTATAGAAATTCTTGTTGCATAATATAGTATAGGAATAAATTAGAGCATTATATATTATAGGAGTAAATTAGTCGTTATCAAAGTTCCATGATTAATAATAGAGGAATTTAAAACTTGGTTATTTTGCCTTTAACACCACCCAAATGTGGCTAACTTGCAAAATTTCCTATTAAAAAAACAAAATAATAATAATTGAAATTACTCCTTTATTTGTTAATAAATGGCCTTGAATGCCACCAGTAAACAAATTTAATGTTCATCCAATTCACATTTAGTGAAAATACAATAATTCGGGCGCACTAAAACATATAGACTTGATGAGTGAGAGAAAATCCTCTCACTTCTCTATAGGTTGGCAAACCAACCGCATTCAACATTCATATTCATCCAGCCAACCCATCTCCACCTCCATCTTCCTCCACATATTCTCCCTCTTTTCCACTATTTCTCCACATTCCCGCCACCCCTCCACCACCATCTTCCACCGTTTCACCTTCTGCAATTTTCGTTTGTCTTTTTAACCCGCCTTTTTCCTTTCCTTTCCTTCCCATTATCCTGTTGGAGATTTGGGAAAAACGCAACGAAATAATATAAAACAAATTAAACCCAAATCAAGCCTAATCCAAAATCAAGAGCAATGAAATGTGTATTTTAATTAAAACCCATACAAGGAAATAGATTATACGTCTATGGATAGCTCCTTCCCTTCGAAGAAATGATTTCTTCGCAAGCCGAATCAAGTATATACACGCACTTACTTAGTCCACACAAAAGCAAACCCGAAGAATCAAGAATGACATATTGCTAGATCAATATAAGCTATTTACGGTGATAGAGAGAAAAAGGGACAACTAGGGTTTACATTTTTGTTCTCTCATTATATTGATAAAATCAACGAACCTTTCTCTTTATATAGGCCTAGGGTTTAGTGTCATGTGTTTGGACACACACTTAAATCCATTTCATTTAGGAATAAGGCCCAACCCTATTCCAAGTAGGAATTGCGTACAATGTTATTCTATGGTGGAATAACATTAAATGGGTATTTTATTTTAAATCAAAATTTGTAATTTTACTTATTCTATTTTATAAATAAAATAAAATAGGCATGAGCAATAACTCCAGAATTAAGTAAATTTTTATTCACTTAATTACACAATAAAATTTCCAAAATACCCTAAATGTCAAAATACCTAAAATGCTCTTTTTCACCAAAACTCTTAAATTGCCAATCTTGAGTCAGTTATTAAACAAATTGAGATTGTCATTATTGAATCCCATAATTATGCAACGACGTAATCCTGAATCATGACAATCCACTTCATAAGCCCCTAAAGCTCTAAAGCTTTATACTTGGGGATTTCAACTTTCTTATGTGTGTGACTCATATGCTTTTCTCGTGTTGGTAGTGAAATGGCTTTTCTCATGTTGGTAGTGAAATAGTATCGTGATTGGCTACCAATCAATCTTCTCACTATTCACGGACCGAGATTGGCTTCTAGCAAAACATCATGACCACTTAGTAAATAGAGACTCAACGAAGCATGCTACTTGTCAATGATATGGTTATTGTGTAATTCAAATTCCTTCATTATCATTTATCTCATTAAGGTTTGAAGTACAGAATTAGTGTCAACGTCAATCAATTGGCCTTGATACATTTGTATTCAATTATTGAATCAACAACCATATAAAATTGGATTTGAGCACCAACTCAAATCCATTGTAGCAATAGATTTTGCGGTCTTAATTACTAACTAAATAACTCAACGAGATAATTTCTCATGTACCCAAGAGTGATGAATCCTTTGTTGATCACTATAGCCATAGTGTACTTCTCGATGCAACCAATAATTACCGTATTGATAACCCTAAATAGAATTGTGTTAGGCTAGTGTCAAATTATACCAATAATTATACACAACTAGTGATCTCAAGTCTAAGGATCACATGTACCATCATCAATTAGAGGATTTGTTCAACAGACACTAGAGTTACCATCTATGTGGAATCCTCTGGTGGGCTAGTCTAGTGAATTTGTCATTAACAAGCACCCATGCATTACAACAGGTTATCACCTAACAACCTTGACATGTGAGAACTGTCACTACCTTTCAGTAGGATCATTCAACGCTATAATAGTCTTACCGTATAATCTGTGTCATTGGTTAGATTAATACTGAGGCTACGAATAGTTCTAGAATGGCCACTATATGTGATCATAGGGTTCTTACAATTAAAATTTAAAACACTTAATTCTCTCATCACGGTTCAACTTTTCTAAGGACATATATATATATATATATATAATCGGATTCTATGATATGGAATTTATGCATTTATTATATTCAATATAATATTACAAGAGTCAAATATTATCAAATATTATTGGCTCTAGTGCACATATCATAACAATCTCCCACTTACACTATAGTCAATTATTCATGTATTTAATACCAATTGATGCTAAATGTTTATTATACTTCTACTACAACAGAGCTTTCGTCAGTGGGTCTACTATATTGTCATTGGTATGTACCCTGCAAATTTGCACATCACCTCTTTGAACAATCTTTCTAAACATATGGTATCGCTTGAGTATATGTTTGGATCGCTAGTGAGACTGTGGTTCCTTAGCTTGAGCAATGGAGCCATTGTTATCATAGTAAAGCTCAACTGGATCAACAATGTTTGGAACCACTTCAAGTTCAGAATTGAACTTCTTGATCTAAACCGCCTCTTTGGCCGCATCAAATAATGCTATGTTGTAAAACCCCTCCCTAGCCGAGTATTTCTTAAGTATCCCTTGGCCATTAAGAATCTAAAAAACGTACGCCTAGGAAATAAGTTTGTTTTAAAACCCTGTTTAAAGAATAAACCTGTAATTTGAAAAAAAAAAAAAATTTCTAACCTATAATAAATTCATTGTGCAAGTCAAATAATATAGTTTCATTTTTTGGAGTAAATTATGAAATGCATAGTAATAATTACTAAAACATACACACTTTTACAAATTTTACTAGCAATTTGATTTCCTTTATTAACACAAACATATTTACCTCATTATAGAACATAAACATATTTACTATATTATGAAATATGAACATAATTACTTCACTAAAATACTAGCAAAACCATTCAATAGTTATCATTAAAACCAAGTTCTCAAAATCCCATAACAACATCCCTTCATGCTTATAGTGTCCCTTGGAATCCTCTCCCAGCTTCATGCATTAATCCTTACTTTGTAAAACATATAAACATCATGGAATGAACGCTAATCGCTCAGTAAGGGAGTATGGCTATTCTAACTTTCATGGATTTCTTACACATCCAAAACGTTCATAAATTCACAACATATTATTCATTGTCAATGTCATAAATCATAGTCATGATATTTATTGTAACACCCACATCAAAGTACATAATTTTATTTATGCCCTAATACCCTTAGTTAGATTTCTTTAAAATTACCTTAGACTAATGTAAAAAAAATTCCTTAAAACTTCATTAGGGGTAAAATAGTCTTTTTACTCATAATTAGTTGAAAAAATGAGAAACAAAATAAGACAAAATAATGAGAAGAAGATAATACAAATGAAATTATGACTAAATTTCTTCTGAAATTATCATTTATCTCAAGAATTACATTTATTTCTCTTGGGAAAGTTAAAAAAAAATATATATATATAAAGAGGAGGGGGGCGCGGCGCGGGCGTGTGGCGGGCCTTCTAGGACCCTTTTGTAAGTAACAAGAAATCTAAGCTCTGTATTATTCTAGTTAATTTCCTTCAACACCTAACCAAGAAAAATTCCTTCAAATCTGAACTATGACCCTAATATGTCAATAGGATGCCCATCCTGGGTTCATTTGGTGACGTATCATGAAATCAATACTCGATTCAGACCAATTAAGCTTCTCCATAAGTTTCTTGATTAGGTCACCGACAACATAAGAAACACCTGAGGACACAACTCCTAAGATTACATAGTACAACAACGTTTTGATGTAAGATTTGGGTGGCGTTTGTACATGAGCCTTCCCAACTGCAAGCAAAAAGATGCATGCAAGAGAGGAACCTGCAGCTGCTGCAAGCTTATAATCTACATTGTCACTCGTACGAAACGAGAAGCCATATACGACAGGAGGCACCAAACCAAAGATGAGGAATGATAAGACAACTACAGTTGCATGAAGTGAGAATTTGTCTCTCTGTCCAAGTTGTTGTTGGTACCGATCTTCGTGCTCAGTCTCTCCAGAACGTTCATTTCTCAATTCTCCAAGCTGTAAATTTTCAACTTTAGTTTATATTGGAATAGCCTAGATGAACGCCACAAGTGAGAAAAATTCCCTAATGTCCTACTTTACATCATGATGTACACTAACTTATAAAAATAGACGCATATATAAGAACTGATCTAGAATATTCAGTTCCTATTCAAGATGTGGAAAACACAATTTCTAAGAGGTATCACCTCAAATTAAGATGCACGCAAATACAGATAATTGAAACGAACAGCCAGAACTCATTATACGAGAGAGAGAGAGAGAGAGAGAGAGAGAGATGCTAGTAGAAGTTCGCATGCAGTAGCGCATCTTGAGAAAAGCAGAAATGTTGGCTTAGAGATTTAAAGAATTTCATCCAGGAACATTGTCTTACAATTGCTGGCCCCAAAAGAATATAGACGTGTAGTATAAGGCTATTAATAGGGCAGAGGCTAGCACTTGAATTAAATGCTTGAAATTTTATTAAGCTAACAAAAGAAAGTAGGCAGAATGTATACAGTTCTTTTGTGTACTAAAATTTGTGCTCATTACCGACTGTAATTGACATGGATTTTACTTACAGTATGAGCAATGATGAAAAGTCCACCGATAAGATTTGCCAATCCCAGAGCTAAAATGTTCACTGCAATAACTCGAGATCAACAGAGTTAAAATGTTATAAACAAAATGTAAATGTCCATAAACAAAGAACAGAAATTAGATGTTCACTGCAATAACCCATACGTGTAGCCAAATGGTTAGTTACTCACAAATAGTACTTGTATGCTAATACAGGAGTTGATCATAACAACACTTACATGTCGAAGCACCAGCAGCTGCTGCAGAAGATACAACTCCTAAACTTGTTATTGATTCAACTAAACCACCGTACACAATGCTTTTTAAAATATCCCATTTAGGGGCTTCACTTGCTGCAGCACCTTGGCAGTGGTCAACAAGTGTCTTAGTTCCACTCTCTGGCAGAAGTCTCTCTTGTACAGATGTGTCAACATCTTGTATCCTCAAAGAAGATGATCGATCAACTGGCAGCGTTTCAGTTACATTCACTATCACATCATCCCCTGCATCACATCATATGGCACAACAGCATGACAACTATGATTTTTCTGGGAACATAATAAGCCGCAAGAGTAATAAGAATGCATTCATAAGCAGCACACATAATTATGCATGAGATAAAGTGAATATTGATGTTTAATATCACTGACAAGATTTGAAATGCAATTTTTATGGCAGACTAGATGAATACTGGCAGAGCCCACTAATGTGAAATGATAGCAAATTACAACACTCCTACACAACAAAAATCCCTCTGATGAGGTGACTCAGAGACGCTAGATAAAATAACAACAATTCAAAACTGCATAACAGTATACACGGCAAAAAATCCAAAAGCGTACAAATCAGAAAGAATAGCCCTGAGTTTGGCACACCACTTTCCCACTATCTTATCCTAAAAAACTAGAAATCAAAATCCAATCCAATCCTATTCTATTCAACTCAAAACATTAATAATTACCTTTCTCAATAAAAGTTTTAAAATTAACAAAAATACCCGCACCCACCCGAGCCACTATCACCCGCCAGCAACCACCGCTGTTGCCAATCGCCGGCCGTCAACACCGTAATGACACACGATAAGCTGGATCTGGCCGGTTGTGCACCAATCTGTCCATTTTCGGCCAAATCCAACGGCCAAATCTACGACCAGATCTGGCCGAAAATGCCCAAATCAACACACAACCGGCCAGATCCAGCCGGTCTTGAGCCATTGTAGCGGCTTCCGGCCACCGTTTGGTGGTGGTGGCTGGTTGCCTGCAATAGTTAGGTGGGTGAGGGTGTTTTTGTTAATTTATAAACTTTTATTGTGAGGCGTGTTTAGTTAAATTAAAAAACCTAGGGGTTTAAAAATAATCTAAATATTTTCCAAAAATGTATCAAAAACATTGTCAGAATCATATCCTATTATCCAAAAATACTATTCAGAATAGAATGTTGTTCTAAAAAACTAAACAAACAGAGCCTAGAATATGCTCATACAACGTGAATAATAGCAAAAAGCAAGACAATAAGGAGCTTCAGTCTTGGAATATAACATAGATAGAGGTATGCAGAAGCAGATCCATAAATATTTGAGGTTCCCAAGCTCAGAACTCAGATTTTCAATTCAACCACAGATGTGACACTCATCGGTTCAAATTTTACAGGAAAAAATATCTATGGCATCCAAATTAGCAGATAGTTCACAAAAATGTATTCTTGAGTATAAAAAGATCAAAACCATACAACATGCACTCATTGAAATTCACAGACAATCGACAAAAAGAGATGTTGCTGGCACATTGCAGACTGCAGAGAACAGTGGAGATGGAGTGGAAATATTTCCAAAGAGGTATACTGTGAAAATATAGTTGAATTAATGCAAAGAATCTTTTCCAAATTGTTGACAAAATTTTGGCTTATCTTTTAAAACATTTAACTCCCCAATTCTGCACATACCTTGTTTGTTGTTAACCATCGTATCACCCACTTTCTCCCTCACATCACTTGATACACCATTGTAAAGCATTGTCTCTTTTATCAAAGAATTTACAGTAGCTCTTCCAGCTTCCCGAGAATCTATTAACACAGAACTAGCAAGTCCTACACTGATAACAGGATTAATCGACGAAGCACCTTGAGTTGATCTCTCCTCCACATCACTTGAAACACCATAATAAGGTATCGGTTCTTTTTTTGAAGAATTTACAGTACCCTTTCCAACTTCCTGAGATTCTATTAGTGCAGAATTAACCAGTCCTACACTGCAAAGAGATTTAATTGGTGACAAAGCACTTTCAGTTGATAAGTCAAGACCATTACAATGAGCAAGCGTCTTGTTCTCTGTTTCCATATTGATTTCTTGGTCCATCAAGAGTTTCTCAGGTAATATAGACTCCGATTCACCTTGCTGAGACTTAACAAGGGAATCTTGTTCAACTGCTCTAGTTTCTACACGAGTTCTGTGATCAGGTGGTGTTACCAGATGATCATTTTCATGGCCAGATAATATACTGTCAGAAATACGCGATGAATTATGCTGATTAATTCCATCTACTTCTGAAGGTTCTGTTGCTCTAGTACCTGCACAAATACATCAAACCAATCAATCGTTGAAGCTAGAAAAATTTGATTATTTTAGCACCATAAGATATGATTCTTCAAATTATTTTAGCACATCATCAGACTATATCTCATTGTGGCATCTCCTTTTTGGGAGATAGATTGTAGACAATAGTACCTTGATCAATAGCTGCTTTCTTGTTATCTGATAGAAAAAGAGAGAAGAACCATTTTTTCTTGGATGCAGGTACACTTTGAACATCTTCCATTTTCTTATTCTCATTGCTATCTCCAAAAACTGGAAATATTTTAAATCCATTACCTGCAAAACTTAAAACAACAGTTAAGCACTTATAAGCTCATCTCTTCAATATAGCATTTGTATAAGAAAATTTAAAACAATAGTTAAAGAACTTAAAGCTCGTCTCCTCAATAGCGTATTTCCACTCCAGAAGCTAACAAGCTAAATGCCAAATTGGAGGTATGACAAGCACATGTTATTATTGGCACATTGATTCACTTAACAACAATACATAGTAAACTCCTAGGTCACATTTGGTTTGGGGTGTGGCATTAAAATTGAGCCATTGTTACGTTCAAACATAGAATCAAATATATCATTTTTACAAAAATAACCCTGCCTTTAAATAGTGGGATGTACAATAAATTTTCCAAAAAAGTTCAGTTTAATTATTTAAATGGCAGGTAATTTAATTTGAAGAAGTCCACTAAGGTCACAAATCCTTATGAAGAGGCAAAAGAAAGGAAAAAATTGTGATGAATAACACTTAATAAATAATGTAAAAACAGGAATATAGATATATTATACCATGTATTTGAGACAAATATATGTCTAAGACGCCTGTTTATGTTTAAGGGTATTTTGTGTATGTAGATTTTTATTAGAACTGTTTTTAAGTTTTAACAGATTTTGAAAACTTGGACAGGGTCCACAAACAAAAGAAAATCAGTCAAAATTTAAAAAAAGAAGAAACAAATATAAAAAAAAGAAATTTAAATTATAAAACACTGGGGCAAGAAGCTTATTTTTATTAAGTGCTACTACAAGAACAACATAAATTGTTGTCCTTTTTAGTGATTGCACCATTAACCCCATAAGAAGTCCCACCCATCTTTCTGAAGCACACACTCTCTCTAATGGGTTGTATTACTGCTATTTCCTAAGGAGTAATGCAACAGTCACCGGGAGTAGTGCACCGAATTTGTGCATCGAATGACGTAGCTCAATCCTGACCGTCGATTAATATTAAGTTATAATTAATCAACGTCAGGATTATGCCACGTCATTCGGTGCACTACTCCCGGTGTCTATTATTTTCCATTTCCTAAGATCTTTGGTATATAGTTATTTGTGTATACTGATAAAAAATTAGATAGATGAACAAAACAATAATGTATCTGATAAAGTAGAGGAGCGATAGATATCACTATGGTAATTCTAAGCCGTCATATCTACTTTCTCTCTTTTCAGAGGATATTACAACTCTTTGACAATCACATTAGAACAATCCTATTTATAGTCTCTAAGATATATCTATCACAGATGATTATGCATCTAATTAATAGCATTATTTTCTTAAATTCATGAATCTACTAATTATGAATATACCTCATGTATCATTTCAAATTTCAAGATGAACTTGATGTATCTAGACATTACAAACATAAACCTCCACACTATCCCTTGATTTTGAAAATTTATGCTGGGACCTCCTTTCTTTGAAAAATATTTTCTTTAATGCACTGATTAATTAAGCATCTCAATCCCTTGTGTTCTTCCTTTGATCTTGAATCATTTCATTGTTTGAAAATTCTTCTAAAGCTTGCATTGAAGTGCTTTTCTTGCATCTTTTTGGCTTGATTTCCAATAGCCTTAAAACATGCCAAAAGCTCTTCTTTTTTTATTTATTTATTTTTTATTGTCCAATCCTTTGCTTTCAATTAATTGTGTTACATGTCATTTTTTTCATTTAAAAAAGAAAACAACATTTTCTTTTCCTAGCTTTTGTTAGGTTTAGCCCACTATGTCAGTAGACAGTAACTCCTAATTTAGATAATATGTCTCCTAAAAGAACCAAGAAATTTTCGTTGAGATTTCTCTTTTTTCTTTTAACTTCACCAGAGCTATTACCAACTTTTTACAGCAAATCAGAAGTTGTACCCTACTTTGGCTTATCTTGGTAGCTTCTGCTTTAGAAAGATTTCTCTTGGGAGGAATCCAGATATTTCATTTTCCTTGGCTCTAGAATAATACTATTGCATCTATACTACCTCTAACACCAAAATAGAAATCTTAAAAATTGTTGATATTAACAAACGTATGAATTTTTTTAAGATAATTTATTCTCTTGATAGTAAGAGATTTCCAAGATATATAATAAGAAGATTCATGAATCTTCTTATCAGGCATATTGATGTCATATCTTGATTAAGAGAGATTAAATTGAAAGCTTAAATTTATCTCTCCCCTCAAGAGAGATTAAATTGAAAGCTTAAAATTATCTCTTCTACTTTCCTAAATCAAAGATCATGGGCTCATAGCATTCATATATTTATCTTTATCAATATTCTTTTTAAAAAATCTAACTTAGTATCAGAGCTAATATAGATCCAAATTCCTCCCAAAAGATTTCCATAGCCTAATCCAACGACAATTTCTTAGGTCCACCGAAAAAAAAAAAAAAATCAAGGTTGTAAAAGCACTCAAGATTTTCAAGGGATAAAAATTATCCCAAAATACAAAAAATAAAAAAAAATCATAGATATTAAAAAGAATACTCCTTCGATATTTCTAAGAAAAGCCAAATGAGGCAACTAGAAGAAAAAAAAGTGCATGTCTAGAAACACCTATTAAAGACAACAAAAGGTGCCACCAAAGCGACCAAAATTTTCAACAAGGACAAAGAAGAAGTAAAGTAAAATAAAATAAAATAATAACTGGCATTTCTGAAGGCCATTTAAAATAAAGACTCGAGAGTATTTACAGTGAAATGATTCAAGATCAGAAGAGGAATGCAAGGGATGTGGATACTGATGTAGAAGATGGCTAAAAAACACAGATTCAATTTCTAAAAGAGACGAGTACAATACAGATTTGCAGAATTAAGAGACAGTGTAGGAAATTAATTTAGAAATCTAGATAATATCTTCATAAGACACGAGCACCATGAAAATGCAACACATATACACATAAAGATTCATGATTATATAATATGATATACTTGGCAACTTACATGTATCCTAATATCAATACATCCTAAGAATTCTAAAAATAGTCTTGTAATCAAATGATTATGCAGAGAGAAGTAATATATCCTCAAGAGAGATTAAATTGAAAGTTAAAAGTTATCTCTCTTAGTCCTCACTCATTTCCTTGATCAAATATATGAGTGTTCTAATCCTTTATTCGAAATCAACATACAAAAAATGCTATCCATCCAAAATAATGGGCAAATAGCATTAATATCTTTATCTCTATCAATTTTGCTATGAAAATCTTTTAGCATAATGGATGTGGCTCTAGGTGAAAGCCAATTTCCAAACTAGTTTTAGAATATCCATTAAGGTATTTCCATAACATCAATAACATCATTAAGCATTAACTTTAAATGACAAAATGAAGAAATTCTAGTGCATTTAAAATAATGAATGCTCTTCTGGTTTTGGTCAATGTGACCCCATGTCAGTATCCTCGTTATCTTAATCTACGGTAGGAGTACGATGTTCATTTCAAGAACTATCATTCAGAGAACCCAAATATGAAGATTGATCATGATTTTACTCGCCCTATTCTTACTTAAGCATTATGACAGATAAACTAGTGCATCAACTCCAAGTTCAGCACATGCTCAAGATTTGAGGAACAAGTCATAAGTAGCCTAACAGCAAAGCATTTAGCTCCCCTAACAGCTTAAATGCTAGTTAATTTCATAAAGCAGTTGAACTATGCCACGCAAAACAGTTTGGTGGGAGAAATGAAATATTTCGGAAAAAAGAAACATGATATTAGATGCTTCAGAAAGTAAAAACGCATGGAAAAATAAAAGGAAGGCATATATCAAGAGTAAGCTTGTCTAGAGAATAAAATGCTGCAGGAAGGTAATGAAGTTTCAGCTTTCCATGTTGAAGGGGTAACATGATACCTGTAGGAATGAAAATGCTGAAGCATGATAAGCATCTGAATGCCTCTGGTTGTTTATCGCAGTTGTCATCATCAGCTACATGCATAGGAGAAACATTTGAACTATTAAAAGCGTAAGGATCTTGACCATTGGTTGCATATGCTGGATTAGCATCTGGAACAGATTGTATCTCAGACTTGACACGTTTTGGTCTATGGGGAATATTTCTAACTTTCGGCTTCGGCTTCTTTCTACGAAGGGTAACCCTTCTGGTTATACAAGAATTACAATTAGGACAATATAACTCATGTGTATTCTGCTTCTTTAACACCCTCTCAACATCTATTGCAGTCAATTCTTGGTCAACTTCGTCTATTAAGTCAACATCTGAATCTTCTACAGTTTTATCATTAAGATACTCTGAATCTTTACTTATTTCTTCACATGACATCTGAACCACTGGCGAAGGGATTTCATCTTCAAAATTCTTCCCATTTTCATGAGTGATTTCAGTGGGAGCATCTATACTTATTTCTTCAGGAGACATTTGAACCACAGGCAAACTCAAACTTGAAAGGATTTCATCTTCCAAATTCTTGCCACTTTCATGAGTGATTTCAGCACTCAGAATTCCTTCATACTTCATATGCAATTCTTCATCCTTCAGAGTTGTCTCCAAAACAACAGACTCATCTTCAACATTTTTCATTCCAGAAAATCCATTAACAGATTCATTGCCTGCAGACCACACAACAGAGGAACAAGTTATAATTAAACTGTAAACCCAGAACTAAAACTTAACATTTTCATTAACAGATTAGAATACTTGTTATTAACATAAGAAATCATCCCAGAGTAGATAGATCTAAAAATAAATCATGGAAATAAAATAAAATTAAAAAAATCACATTAATCCTATGCTTATATGATTGTAACCCCACCTTCACAGATTTACTTTCATGCTTCAATGCAAGCGTGATTCACGCAAATCAAGTTTACTTAATTGAAGGGCTTTCATTTGCTAGTGACAGTAATTATCTAAAGTAAGTTCAAAGCTAGTGAAACTGATTAGAGGACAATATACTTGATATTATTATTTACTGATTAGAATACTTGATATTAGAATAAGAAATCATCCCAGACTTGTTAGATCTAAAAACAAATCATAGGTATAAAAATAAATAAATATAAAAATCACACTAATCCTGTGCTTATATGATTGTAACCGCACCCTCACAGATATTCTTTCATGCTTCAATAGAAGCTTAATTCACCCAAAAAGCGTTTACTTAATTGAAGGGCTTTCATTTGCTAGGGACATTAATACTCTAAAGCAAGTTCAAAATTAGTAACGTAAGATTTTGAAACGAACTTTACATACTTCTTGAAATGGAAGTGGTGTTTTGAAGCTAAAATTAGATTATGAATTACACTAGTAAGTACCTCTTAAATTGTGAAAATCATGAAAGGTCCATTTGAAATGGCGACATTTCCAAATTCCTTGATTCACAAATGTAACCAAATTACACAACCCATGTGAAACTTGTTCATTTTATAAAAATTAAAACAAAAAATAATAAAAAAAAGGGGTGTGATATAAGAGTAGTAGATCACCTTGTTGGGTATCAAAATAAACGCTATTCTTGTGCAGTCCTTCCCCATTTTCATGTACAGCTTCATTATTAAGATCTTCTTTTTCTTCCTCTGCTTCTAGGGCATGGTCTTTAGTTTTACCATTAGCATGAGTGGTGATTTGGCGAGACTGGCGTACAAGAAGGCCGACTTCTTCTTCTTCTTCTTCTTCTTCTTCTTCTTCATCTCGGTGATGGTGGAATGGTTGGTTTTGGCACTCCAACTCCATATTGAATTGAGTTAGAGAGCGCTCAAATCAACTACGCACAGTAGAGTGTAGTGGTGGTTGAATTTGTACTTTTGCTTTTTACTTCAATTTATGGAAGAGAGACAAGAGAAGTGGTGTCAAACTACTTTAAATATTAATCCAAATAAATTACTAGCCTTTAAAACACCCATTTATTTTGGAAACTATCATCTAATTCCTTAAACAAGTGTTCTTTTCTTGTAAGTATTATTGATTCGCTTTAAATTGGGATGACAACTTGACCTGTAGAACCACGTATCCAAGGATCCAAACCCTAGTCAGGATGATTCTGGTCTAGATAGACCTAGGTGAACTTGTTTTAAAGGGGTATATTTAGTACAACTTTTTTTAGTGGAGCTCAGGAAAGAAAATCTAATTAAAATAGAGTTTATTATAGTAAAGCTTTTATGAAAATTCTGTTAATTGTTTGGTTAAAAAAATGTAAAAGAATTTTATTGCATTTTAAAAATAGTATGGGAATATATTTAAAATTTTAGGCTCCGTTTGGTTTACAATTTTGTGTTTTTGGGAAAAGTTTTTTGAAAAAAGTAAAAAAAAAAGTTGAATTGGGCAGATATTAATACCCCCTATATTTATTTTTTTACAAAATACCCCCTATAATAAAACATTAAAAGTTAACAAAAACACCCCCAATCCACCCTCAAATACGGACAGTCGGCCACCACCACCGGAGGGTGACCGGAGTCGTCGTATCAGCGCATGACCGGCTGGATCTTGCCGGTCATGCACTGATATGGCCTTTTCCGGCCAGATCCACGGTGGATCTGGCCGGCAAAGGCCAGATCTACAGCTAGATCTGGCCATTGACGGTCAGATCTGGTCGTATTTGCTCGTCAACGACGACCAACAAACGGTCGTCGTTGATGGTCAACGACGACCGTTTGTTGGCTGTCGTTACTGACTGGTTACGGCTTTGGCCTTAGATCTGGTCGAAAAAGGTTAGATTGACGCACTATCGGCCAGATTCAACCGGTAGTGCGCCATCCTACCAGATTCTGGCCATTTTCCGACAGTGGTGGCCGAAATCTGGTAAATGTGGATTGTTGGGGTGTTTTTGTAATTTTTTAAAAAAATATTTAGGGGTATTTAATTAAATTAACAAATTTAGGAGGTTTAAAAAAAATTGAATAATATTGTGAGTTTTTTGGTATTTTACTGTTTAACTTTTTTGGGAATACTAAAAGTAGTATTCTCAAAAACCAACCAAACGAAGCCTTAATATTTTAAATAATCTCAAAAATAATTCATAAAAGAAACTTGGATTTTGAGCTTCTTTTAATAAACCTAAAATAATTTATTTAAAATTCATAAGCACTTTTGAGATGAAAAAACAACCTAAAAATTTTCAAATGTACTCACAAGTTACAACTTAAAATTTTTTTTTTTTTTTTGGTAGTAGATAAGTCAAACTCAAAAAGGCTATTAAAGGTATAATAAAACAATTTTTCTATAAAATAAACTTATATCATTAGACAAACCTTACTATTACGAGTTTGAAACAAGTATTGTTCTTTTTTTTTTTTTTTTTTTTTTTTTTTTTTTTTTTTACTGTTAGTCTAGTTTAAGACTAAACAATTTTTTTTTTTTTTTTTTACTGTTAGTCTAGTTTAAGACTAAACAATTCGCTTAAATGGTATGAGTTCGAGACAAGTATCATTCTTTCTTTTTAATCGTTGGTCTGGTTTAAGACGTCTGAAACCCAACTCATTTTCATCCCCGTTTTGTACTTTGCTGATTATATTAACAATACATTGACGAAGGGGTTCAATAATCATTTCATAATAAGGTTCTAACTAGTTATAGACTCAAACCATTATCATCTATACTTCAGATTTTGCTTAATTATTGTTAACAAGAGATTAAAAGGTACTTACAAAGGAGGTTGCTCTTATTTTTCAAAATACGTGGACGTTTCTAGTTAAGGAAAATTTTAATAGGGCCAATTTTAATCCAAAATAATTTCATAAAATATTGAAAATGTCACGTGAGGCTATTTAAGTAAGCAACTACTCCCTGCAAGGCTGCAACTGAAAGGCACGGATGCATGTTTTTGTTCATGTGCATATAAAGTAAGCGCAGTAATCCCCCCAGTAATAAAGTGATGAAAACCTTAAGAAGTTGGTTTGATGATCAAGGAGATTTGCTCATTTCCTTAAGTTTCTGGGTTTAAAACCTTAGGGTCACTTACCACAATAATATTATAGTTTACTTAACCTTTTGAGCTTGTAAGGTATTTAATAGGTTCTAGGGATTAGTTGAGATACGCACAAACTGGTTTGAGCAGCCCAATTACCAAAAAAATAAATAAAGTGATGAAAAAAGTATCATCTCACAGAGATTGTGTGCTAATTACCGAATTCTCTATTCTATTACTAATTGAAGCAAATAAAAATTGGATTGGTGGGAGACAAAACAATTAAACAAAAACAAACTATTATCAACTGCTAAATTTGTGAATAAAACTAAACTAACTCAAATGGGATATGCTCACTTAAGACAAAGAAGTTAGGGTTTACAACTTCACCAAGTTACTCAAACCTAACCTATGAATCCTATTAATCCAAGTTCTAAGGTGTTGATTAAAAATCAAACTCCCTCTCATGCTGTACCACCCCACCTATTCCTATTAAGCTTCCCCCACCCACAAATTAAAACTTAATAGTTCAAGACCTCTTAACCAAGTGGAATTCTTCCTAGATTGCAAAGGTTACGTTATAATCTCTAGTTTTCGCTCAACCTAAGGTATCTACCCAAGAAACTCACACATGAATCGCTTATTAGCCCATCATGTTCAACAATCATTTGAATATAAACCCAACATTCAAATACATTCAAAACAGAGATAAACAATTAATCACACCATAGAACTCAAAAAAAACATAAACAACATAGATTAAGTCATTGTAAACAAGGATCCATCAAAACCCTAACTAAAACAAATTAGTTCATACTAAAAATGGAAATAAACAAATACAAAGTAAGAAAATCAGAGTTCATCATGAAAATAGCTAAAAGAAAACAAAAAATCTTCTCTAATGGTGCTTGAATCTTCAAGTTTCTTCTTCTCTTTCAAAAGCCTCTTCCCATGAACTCTTCTTCTCTCTCTCTCTAAAACTCTCACGTTTTCTTTATAGTGGACAAAACCCTAGGACAAAATCGAGCTTAAAATAAAACGCATCGTTTTATTTTCTACATTTTCTAGTTTTGTCGCGGCGAAGTCAAGTGTGACCAAAATCCAAGAGATTCCTCGCCGCGGCAAAGATAAAACCTTGTCCGTCGAAGTTTTATTTTCTAGAGAGTTACAGAATTATGATCCAGCTTCTTTTTCTCTGGAATCTTCATTCTTCACGGTTTCCAGTCTGATTAACTCAAGAGTGCTTCCAATCAACCTTAGAACTAATTTTTGATCTTTTCTGAGTCAATGAGCTCAAAATTGGCACGTTTCGCTCAAAAAACACACTTAGGCTTGAGACATAAAATAAATTGAATTTAGTAGCAACAAGGCCAAAATCAAATGTGAGTACTAAAAATCCTAAAAAAATCCAATGAAAAATAATAAAATGTAGGATTATCAAAAACCCCAAACTTGAAGTTTGTCATCCTTGAGCAAAAAGAAGCAAAATCCAAACAGAATGAAAAAAGGCACAGTATCAGCAAAACGAAAATAAACTAAAACATAAGAAGAAATGCCCAGATTGGATGTAATGCGAGTCCCAGAAATTGTTAAAACTTTATTACAAGAAAATGTTTAGCTCCAAAAAGTCACATTATGAATCGACTAACTTTCTCTATTGGTAGCTAAGTCGGTGATCCACTTCAACCACCCTTCGACTTCTCAGATTATTTTAGCAAATGGGTGAAGTTTTCAAATGGTAGTAAACTCCATAGGCCTAATTTCAACTACTCTCCACTAAATAGAGTAAACATTGTTAAGGATCAAAAGGTCTTTAAGCTTGTAACGTTAGGCTTGGGTAGTAGGCTCCAAGAAGGGATAGGTAAACAAAGTAAGAGAACTTGGTTTTCCTCATGCAAACACAAAGAGCTACAACATAACCTTCCTTAATTGCTCAACTTCCAAATCAAAAGCATCAACCTTTTACAACCCTAAACTTGCATTTCTTATTTTTGTAATTGAAATGCATAACTAAAGTAGAATTTTATTTTATTAAACACAAACAATTTCTGTTTTTTTTTTTTTTTTAACAACTAAAAAATAACATGATGATAACAAATTGGGGTTGCTTGCCTCTCTTTGCTGCCTTTTCACAACCCCCAAACTTATGATTTTCCAATCATTAGTTATTCATAAACCTTTGTTGCTCTTTAAGTTATACATAGGTAACAAAGGTTAAAAAACTCCTAAAGAGTTGATAAAGTGTTGGGGTAAAGGGTTGGATAATTTTTTGTTGTTACAAGGAAAACAAGAAAATCATCAAAAGCTCAAAAGGGTGACTAGAGACATTTACAAACATGGTTGGCTAGAAAGGCTCAAACGTTCCATAGAAGCCTAAACCATTTCCTCAAAACATCTAATAGGATATTGGTTTGGCTATCGCTCAAACCCTAACAGGCTCAAACCTAACACACTTAAACGTTCCTGGTTTGGCTATTGTTTGAGTATTTATCATAGTCAGCATTTTGCAAATACGTTGCATATTCATACACGTTCCACTTTTTCAAGCCATAATATTCATTAATCACGGCTGCATTACAAGGAACCTGAATACCCCTAGCATAGACTTGTTGTTTTTGCACTCAGGAAAATTAGCATAAAATTCCCGCACTAGGGGTGCTATGCTAAATGGGTGGGTTCCTTAACGAATTCATACCATCCTAAAGCTAGAATCCAATCAATTGTTTTGACAATATCAAGGCTCGTCCTCTATGGACCCCCTGTTCTTCTTAGCACCAATTCATATCTCTCCCTAGCCTTGGCACTGACATGTTGGAGTAGGGCCCTAGAGCAATCAATTATTGTGGAATTGACTCTTTGTATAATGTTTATATCAATAAAAGACATTATCTACTATATCATGAAACCATAGTTGTATGTATTGATATATGTCCTTAAATGGTAGAACCATGACAATGGTATCAAGTGTTTCAAATCTTGATAGTGAGAACCCTATGAGCACATATGGTGGG